TGGTGAAAATAAGGGTTGTGTAGTTGTCTATTTGACGTCGCGCCGTAACGTCAAGACATCAATGACGGGGTTGTTAGGACGTAAAAGCGCTGCTTGGGTACTGTGTGATTCAGACAAGGATGGTTATACAAAGCCAACATTTTTGTGCTTCGTTACAGTTCCAGTTGCGTTTAGTATATAGTTTATTGGTGGTAGGCAGATAACAGTTCCGCGAAAGTCCGGCTGCTGTACATATTTATATTCTGTGTATATTCAGCTGATACGAGACTCTCGCACGAGACACGAGACTCGAAACGGGATGTCTTCCACGAGCCCCCAACCTGAAATATTTTGCACTCAGTTCAAGTTAGTGCGACACAAACAAACAAGGTTATGTATTTTAATTTGTTTTCGCGAAGTTGCACGATGTATCATGATTCTCATCAGCGTTCTGGGGCAAAGAGTAGGCAATAAACTATATACCTAACGCAACTGAAACGACAACGCTCATTTACACACCAATGGTAAAGTTGTAACCTTTCTGTCAAGAAAGATAGACTGTATATTCTTTATCATTCATAGTGCATGAGTCCGACAAGGATTGATATACCTACCTTGTGTACAACGTAGGTATCTTAGACCCTGTATGTTTCATGCATACTGTGTGATTCAGACAAGGGTGAGTATACAAAGCCAAAATGGTTACACAATTTTGTGCTTTCGTTGCCGTTCCAGTTGCGTTTAGAAGGTATATAGTTTATTGGAGGTAGGCGGATAACGGTTCCGCGAAAGTCCGGCTACTGTACATATTTATTTTATGTGTATATTCACCTGATGCGAGACTCTCGCACGAGACACGAGACTCGAAACGAGATGTCTCCCACGAACCCCCAACCTGAAATATTTTTCACTCAGTTCAAGTTAGTGCGACATAATCAAACAAGGTTATGTATTTTAATTTGTTTTTGGGAAATTACACGATGTGTCATGATTCCCATCAGCGTTCTGGGGCAAGCAGTAGGTGATAAACTATATACATAAGGCAACTGGAACGGCAACACTGATTTACACACCAATAGTAAAGTTGTATCCTTTTTGTCAAGAAAGACAGACTGTAGTCGTTATCATTCACAGTGCGTGAGTCAGACAAGGATGGATATACCTAACTTGTATACAACGTAAGTATCTTCGACCCTGTATGTTTCATGCATACTGTGTGATTAAGTATACAAAGCCAAAAAGTTTACACAATTTTTTGCTTTCGTTGCCGTTCCAGTTGCGTTTAGTATATAGTTTATTGAAGGTAGGCGGATAACGGTTCCGCGAAAGTCCGGCTTCTGTACATATTTATATTCCGCGTATTTTGTCTGCACGCAGAAATAATCACCTGATGCGGGACTCTCGCATGAGACACGAGACTCGAAACGAGATATCTCACATGATATTCGAAACAAGACCAATGAAGCTCTGTCTCGTCTTGTCCGAGTATCGTCTCGAGTCTGTCTCGAAAACGGGAATTTCATGAGCACCACTAGGATAGCCCTAGGATGTTGCTGGCAATAGCCATGTGATCATTTGCGTTGTCCTTGGGACATTCCTCAGGAAAGTTTTTAAGAAAACGTGGGATGTATGTAGGTATCTTCCTTATACTTTAGAGAAATGTACATAAAACATCCTTCATGTTTTGTAGAACGTCTTTAATAGATAAATAAACATTTATGGATAAAAAATTATAATTAGTTTATTATATTAGATCACAATAAGTATTTTTTTATCGAAAGAAAAGGTAATAATATCAACAAACAATTATACAAAAAATACATTAACAAATAAATTCACAAAACAATATTCCAAATCTCCCAAAGACTCCATCACTCAAATTAATATTTAGACATCGGCATAAAGTTATTGTATAAACAACGTAACGCTGGTAAAATAAAAATGGCGAAAAAAGGTCGTCACGACTAGGGTAGTTCGGTCATAATTCTTATTGAGCAAAGCATAGCTGGCCGAGGTGATCAGTTATAAATTCTACTTATATATTTTAGCTAACGGAGCTATCAGGAAATCTGATACAATGTTCAATCAATCAAATAAATTTCGCCTATACACCAGCTCAACATACCGGGTACTAGATGACACCCAACGCGAGACTATATAGACCCACGACACGACTCCATTAAGAATGACGATGGAGTTGTTACAATACTAAATTATTAATAACTAACTAATCTACAAAAATTAATTTGTGTTTTATGTTCCTTTTAGGACAATCATCATAAAGCTAGAAATATTCCATTAAAAGCATAGCAGCAATTGTACATAAATGGCTTCGTAATACTAGCTACAGGAAATTGACCATTCGCAACTTATCGCTATATTTTATAGTAACCACTTGCGACATCAAATTCTCATAGTTACCCTTAAAGTTTTGCTGGTGGTTATGAGAGTCGTATACCATCTGAGCATGCCTTCCTGAAGTTATCAACTTCATTTTGCATTTGAGTTTATTGCCTTGAGTACACACCCAACGATTGGAGTTTGCGTTGCGGCGGTCAAGTTTAAATTCGTAATTGTCTATAATCAATATGGGGTGTTTTCTTCCATGAGTAAAATAGATAGTTGCTAAAAGTATGTTGTTTCAAATTAGGATGTACGTTACATATCTATTAGAAAAATACCATTTTAACTTTAAAAATTAAAAAAAGTTTCATATCAGCAAATTATTTATTTGTTTACCTGCATACATTTATGAAACGAATTGCAACTTGTCACGATATATCAAAGTAACACGTTGTGACATCACGTTTTCGTAGCTGCCCTTATATTGTCTCTCATGGGTATGAGAAATGGGTTTCATATGGACTTGTTTCCCAGTAGTTACCAATCTTGCTCTGCATCTAAACTTACCATGTTGAGTACAAACCCAAAGGCTGGAATTAGTAGTGCGCTCTTTCACTTTAAATTCAAAGCCATCCACAATCATTATGGGGTGTTTTCTACCCAGAGTGAAATGGACGGTTACTAGAAATATATTATTTTAAGTTATCTTATCAAACATATTGGAATACCTTATTTAACGTCAAAAATTAAAAGTTTTTGTGTCATGCTATTTATTTGTTGTTTATTTATTTTTGAGATCACAAACAACCAACTACAACCTATCACGATAAATTACTTCAACGATTTGTCGTTTTAAATATTCGCAACTGCGCAAAAAGGTTCTTTCATGGTTATGAGCTACGGATTTGATATGCACTTGATTTCCCTCAGTTTTCAACCTTGCTTTACATCCGAATTTATTACGGTGATTACAAACCCAAAAGCTAGATTGAGAAGTGCGACGTTCCAATTTCAAATCGAAGCCATCTATAATCAAGACCGGATGTTTTCTTCCCATTGAAAAATAAATGGTTGCTAAAAATATATCACTTTTAGTTATCACATATTTTATTATTTGCGTTACATTACATACCGAGGTGGGAAGTATTTCATTACTGTCGAGAGATTAGTTAGTAAACTGAGGTTGACTATAATCTAGAGACAGGAATGAAACTTCCTACCGAGGTCTGTATACTATTTTATTTACAACAATTACAACCATCACAATTTTGACTAAATACTAAATAAAAATTAAAAAATTTTGTTGATAAGTTCTGACTTATCTATAACAGGTTTAACATGCAGGACTTGTCTTTAACATTTTACGAAATGAGGGCTTACTTTCCACCCTAGTGGAAAGTGAGCACTTTTCACCCGGGATCACTTTCCACCCGGAAGGAAAGTAAAATTCAAAAAAGTGTCACTTTCAAACATTTGAAAAGTCAGAAATGTTCAACATTACGTATGTGGTTGTAAATAAACATATTTGACATCTACTTCTAAATACAAACATTGCACCTGGATTTGTGTTTAGGTGTGAAAGAACAACTTATCAGGCCGAAAGTGAGTTCTCCAGGCCGAAAGTAAAGTGACATTTTCAAACCTTCAAACCAGTAGGTAAGAAATGTGAAAATTACATATATGGTTTAATAGTTATTTACATTACAAGTGCGTTTATGAACATGATTACAATAACGAGTGTGAAAGATTAGAACGACGAGGTCGTAGACCGAGTCGTTCTAATCACACGAGTTCTGTAGTCATGTTTAAACGCACGTGTGATGTACAACGTTTTATCTACAAAGCGAAAAATAAGAATGTTTTTCCAATTATTTTCGTTTCTTAGCAGTTGTCTACCTTCGTTTTACCTTTACAGGTTTACTTTTGACATTTGTCAAATCACCAAAAATAACGTGCGTTTTTATTCTCATCGGTGGATTCACCGATGAGTTAACTATCTTTGTTTAGTGAATGGAAAATGACAATGACCGACATAGAATGGTGGATCCATCGGTAAAATTTGATGAGAATAAAAACGCAGGGATAGTTGTGTTATAGATTCATAACCTCGTCCATAACACCACTAGTTGTGTTATGAATTCATAACCTAGTCTATAACACCACTAGTTGTGTTATGAGTCTCATAACATAACTCAAATACTAGAAAAATGGTTATGTAAAAACGTTATAACCAAACGCTTGTAGATAAAATAAAATTATAACACTTTTTTCATTTACCAATAGTGAAAATAGTCCATCAGCCGACAGATTAAAGTTTAAGGAGTTTAATGAATAGATGAACAGTATAGCAGCCCTGTTCACCACTGCTCAACTTACCATCAAATCGTCGCAGAATGATACAAATGGGTGGCTGGTGGGTTACCAACTTGCATCATAAGATAAAAATATTACTTATGCATATTATTCTATTATTTCATACTGTCCAGCAAATACTATATCACGTCATCAATCTCAGTACGGAAAATCGCACATTACGTCACTAATCCGATAAAGTGAAGCCGGACTCCTGTCAAAAGTCAACGTGACACTATTAGAAATATGAAATTCTTATGTATTAAGAATTCTGCAACTGGTGACTAAAAATAGGAGTTAGAATCGTTTTTGACGAAATTCTCTTAGTACATTTAATTAACGGAAAAAATTAAGGATATATTCTCCCGGAATTAAAAGTCTCTTGTATGAGCCGGGTAGTTTTCAAGTTGGTTTAATAAAAATAATATCGACAACTTAAAATGATTTAGCGATTCGGAAAAATAGGAGATCTTCATTTTTTTCTATTCACTCTCCCACCATCTCTATCACATGCTCCGCGTAACCATGCTTTCATAGTACCCTCTATAAGAGACGCCGTGGCCTCGGATCCACATGCGGGATTTGATATTACTGCCTCTGCAACAAAATAAATAAAACATTTAACATAGTGCCCTAGGACTATTATTGAAGTATGCATCTAAAAAATTTTGATAATTACCTGTGATAAGTTTAATCAAAGCTTTATTTATATTGAAAGCAGTCTTGCTGTTCCTGCCAGTCCAATTGCATTGCAAGGCTAAATTATGTCCAATTAGTATGGAAATTATCCTCCGTGTTGTCTCCACACAGTTACGACCACCAATACGCTTTAAAAAGTGAAGCTGAAGTTTAAAAAAATATATTTGAATTAATAGCAAAATATAACAAGTATCATATCTAGTGCTTACATAGTTTTTATATTCCTTATCATCAGCTAGTTTTGTTTCCAAATCTTGTAAATCTTGCAATGTTTTAACTGGAAGATCTACAGGTTCAGTAAAACCAGCTGGAGAAGTATTTGCTTCTAATTTTGCACCTTCCAAGATCGTAGCTATGTATTCAAGCTTGTTATTTAAGTCAGCGTTTATTTTCAACTGATTTCTATATAGATTCTCCATGGACTCTAAAAAAATTAATTTGATTCAGTGAGTGTTCAAGAAAGAAAGAAGGGTTTTTGCTCTGTTATTTATGCGTGTTTCTTACTATTATTTTATTTCACATAAAAAAAGTAAACAATAATCGGGTAGGGGAGTAGCTTCCTCTGGCTTTCATCTCTATCCTACGAAACCCATAGCTCTAACTTTTCCGTCAATTTTCTGAGTTAATGAATGATGGTAGAACCATTTCCACTGGTTGAATCTGTTTTTTTTTTCGTGCAGAGTTCGAGGTAAGGACAACATAACAGATTGAGTGCTACAGCACATATGGGATACCACTAAATTCCTATATCTTGTCGTATTTGGCATCCTTTTGGAATTTACCTCGGATTCAACGTATAAGAAGTTTTAATTATTTCATATTTTTCCAAAATTATCTACAAATAATAAAGTAAAGTACCTATTATTTTATTACGAATTTATATGCAGGATTGCCCAGAAGAGTTTGTAGAATAGATGACCATAGATTCCTGAGGTCAAAACAAATAAATACAAAATTAATTATTAGAAATTGAGTCACTAAATTACCAATAGCCTATGGCCATCAGTTGTACACACACTACTGAACTTTATTATTTTTATTAGTGGATTATAATTTAAAAAAAAAACAACTTTTTGTATTTACCTGTCACGCCTTATTCGTTTTAGGATGGGTTTTGAGACGAAAATCAATGCCATTGTCTTGTCCCTAAAACTCCATTCACTGGAAATGATGGATGACTTACACAGATTTTTTTTTTTGAAAATTCCACAACATGAATAGCTAATTTCAATCCCAAAAATTTCTTTACATAAAGTTGATTTTCAGCCAACAAACAATAATTAACGTTTGGGTTAGTTTCGATTGTTGAGCTATAGATTTTAGCTTAATCTATGAGATAATGATTGTGTATGATGAAATTTGCCTCAAAGACAAAATGTCCGTGTTTTCTCAATGCATTTCTAGCATATTCATTAAATTTGTAACGCGATTATTTAGAAGACGAATCTATCTTGTTTTTCTATTGAAAATATTTTTATTTATTTTTTCCAGGGTTGCTTTTGTAATAAGTTCTACCAGTTTAGAAACAAGACAACAGACCCCAACTTTCCATACCTTGGTAGTCATATTTCGACAAATATGCAAATGTTGACGCATAAATTCAACACCGACTAAAATCAGTTTTGCGCGTCCCTATAGAAAGGTGTTGGACAACCACCACATAACCAAACTAAAATTCTCGGTCTAAAATGATGCCTGTATCGTTCCAACACTTTTTTACGGGCCACCTATAAGCAAAACCTGAGGTACTTAGAAAAGTACCACCATTGCTGCTTAAAATAGTGTTGACATTCGCACTCAGATTCACGTCTTCCTACTGGAAAATGTCCAATGCTGCCAGGAAGGGCGATTTGAACGATACAAGGATATCCTCAAGACAAACATGAAAACATGAAAACCACCCAGTTGGTTATACCCAGTTGGCAGCGCGAAGCCACTTAAAAACGTCGTAAATTTTATATAAAAAAATAAAACAACAGATTAGAATATCTACCCACTGAAAATAGTGAGCGTTATTTAAATTGAACGGTTATGGTACAGCGTGCTTTTTTTATAATCATTAGTAAGCCCCGTATCAAGTATAGCGGATAATATCAAACAATAATAATTAACTAGAGAGCACACAAAATATTTTTGTAAAAATTTTATTGCAAACTAGGATCGCACGCCCATGGAATCACTTTATGATAACCGATCTGTAGGTACTGACGTGAGGAGTGAGGACAGGAAAAAAGCCTAACGAGGGGACAAACAACAGTTGAAATGAAGATTAATAAACCTCCCTTCGACGTATTTACGATTATATAGTCACAAATTGCTTTGCTTTTAAAATTGTTTTTTTTTTTAATGTTTTTGCTAAGTTCCAGTGCACTTTTGGAAGTGGTTTATTCCATTACCAACATAGGCAGCTATTAAAACGACTTAAATGGTTATTTACATTATAAGTGAGATAAATAGCAAATAACGGCCGGGCTGAAGTTTGTGCATAATCAACCAAGGCTGTTATTTGCAGTTATCAGCCGTGTTTCCTTCTAAATTTCTCGTCATACTGCAAATATCTTCCAATCTGACAAAAAAAAACTCTCTCCTACAGAAGTTTATTTGAAAATAACGGCCGGCGGCCGTTAAATATACCTTTTCGATTTCAATTTCACTCATGTTATAGTAAGATAACAGTACACTATGACGAAAAGAAAAAAGCGAAAAGGTGTTAGGAAAAACAATGATAGGCTTACCCCATTTTGTTACCCGAAAGTCACCATCGTAATTATTGTTCGGCGTTAATTTTACGATAAAATTCCCGAACGTACTTCATCGAATATTAACTAATGAACCGAAGAACTAAGCTAAAAGATCAACTAGGTAGAGGAAAATAATACCTACACGAAAGGCCTAAAATGAAGATTTTAGTCGCATATAGACAAAGAGCCATTTGACACGTCAAAGTTTTTTTTTACGAAATTATTCCCGAAATATTTCCTAAGTTTACTATTTTTGGTTTGGCTTTAACTAGAACATAATAATATGCGAAAAAAAAAAAAATGCATAACCGACTTCGATCTTTGTCCCTACTCTGCACCCTAACTAATAAATAGGGTAGAAATGAGCAGGTATAAAAAATTACGAAACATAGGGTGGAACGTACGCTATACGGAAGGAATGTGGTAGGTACATTTTGGAAGATTGAAAGGGAAATTTTTCTTCTATGTAATAAGAATTCATGAATTGGCCCGGTATATACTTTGTACAATTTATTTTGATAGTTTAAAAATGAAGATAAGTGACAAATAACAACATTTAAAGCATGCATAGATTTGTTTTATTTTTAATCTATGACTATAAATTTGAAAACTAGTTTTATAGTTATTTGTATACCAAGGCCGCGAAATGCCTTTTTAGCGTACGTAGTGAAAAGTTATCGCCGAAGAAGATATAATCTCGACGACTCTGAAAAGTTTCTCGGTCATGGTGTATACACTTTTTTTTGTGCAACTATGAAAATTACGTAAAGGTACAGAGAAACTCTATGGATTTGAAACATTTTGCACGTTAGATGTGGCGGCCGCGAAATTCAAATTCGGGGACAGTATGGCGGTTGCGAAAGCATAGAAATTAATTGTATTTCGAAAAATAATAAATACCCACAATAATAATTAAATACCTACCCTATTATTTCTGTTATTCTCGTGAATAGGGGAAATAAAACACACTGCTCGATATTATGAATCTATTAGATATATGCAAGCTGACATAGTTTTAGCACATGCGCATATACATATATGCCTAACATATTATCAATATTATAGAAACCAGATATGCTCAAAATATGTATGTATATAGGCTTTTGAAACTTGAAACAGACGAAACAGTTGTGAACTGTAAATGAGATGAATAAGGTTGAGTACCTAAAAATACAAATGAAATTAATATATTCAGAGATAGAGACTACACATCCCTGGTTGGTAATCCAGGAAAATTAGAAATAATCTAGAACATAATATTTCAGGTAGGTAAATGAATAAATTACACTCCACAGAACAGGTTTGTAAAAATATATACGAAAATTATAGGAAAATCCCAGGCTATCAGGATATTCCATTAACTGGAACATGGAATTAAAATTGATTGAACTAGAAATTTAAATAATGTAGGATCCTTAGGTGAGATTATAATCAATTACCAATGAATTTCATATCCAATTTGTTTTGTTTATAAATGCATCTGTAAGCAAAAGGGGTATTTCACAGTCCTTGCTATAACTATTCAAATGAAAAACACGTCACGGAAATAGTTGTTTTACAATAATTGCTATCCGAACTCCGAACGGCAAGCGGGTGCAGAAAAATGGTATTCACCGCACTTGTTGGCATCAAAATTTCTCCTACGAGAGTGCCGAAAAACCCCTTTTCCGCACGCACGGGAAAATTATTCGAGCACCTGTTTGTAATTTGTAATTTGTTAATTTCAATAATATTCTATGCTTATTGAAGTTTGATTTACAAATTTATACGCATGATCAAAATATCCTAGAATACGATACTTACGATACTTACTTATAGATGTATTAAATAGGATGCATTTGACTAAAATAATTTATAATGAAATTTATTTGTACCTTTGCTTTGTGGATCTTGGATCTTTCGGAAAACGAAAAGACGATAAACCGCTAGTTCTCGTTCATTAGTACATCTACTGCACAAAAGACCATTTTCATAAAGAAAACTCAATCCACGTAAACACTGCCTATCCAACTAGACCACCGGGTCTATCGAACTACAATTCACAAAGCGAGTTGGAGACACTCTGTAGGCGACCCTTTTGAACGCCAGCGTGAACAAGATGGTCGAGGGGCGATGGAAAGGAGTTTAACGGTTTTCGTCGAGCGCGGCAACTTATACTCTTAGCTTATACCTACTATACTAGCATACTATAGTAGTATCGGTTCCGTATACTTTGGCAAAACATAGATAACTCGACATTTATTAATAAATACTATACAGGGTGTTTCATTCCACCGGGAACCAAATCGATGTACAGGGTGTATATTTTAAGTGATACCACTATTGCTACATCCGAAACGGTAAGAGCTACAAGGTGAATTACCTAAATTAGAAAAAAGTTGCCTTTTCTAATGCCTATTCAAGTCACGTTTACAGTGTTTACAAATTCCTTTAAGTTGACAAAATTTTATACAAAATTTTTATAAGTCAATATTTTTCTAATTCCCGTATTATATCTGTGTACCTATTTTTCCGTGTATTTATTCATGTAGTTCAGGGTGACAACCGAAAAACTTCAACATAAATCAGCATTATGAAAAACAAAATAATGTTGGCGCCCTGAACTACATGAATAAATAGGTACACGGAAAAATACACAGATGTAATACGGGCATAAGAAACGCCTAAATATATCTCATCAATTAT